ACTGGTTGGGATGAGGCAAATAGGTATCGTGTATCCTCCCATAGATACCCAGTAAGGGGCTAACAACCCTGATATGGGACCTAGTTGCCCCATTACCTACTGAGAACCGGCAAGAAAACCTGGAACAAGAGCACTTTTGAAGAGATCGTGGTGCAGAACTCAGGGTTTAGGGCTTGTTCAGGGTTTAGGGCTTGTTCAGGGTTCGAAATGCTTGGTTGAGGCCCTTAGGGTTGAACCCCCCACCCCACCCCCCTCCCCCCATCCCCCCCTGCTAACACACAAGCGGCCTTTGTGGAGATCGCGGGTTTGGGGTAAGGGTTGCGAGGCGCTTGAGGTTCCGGTACATGGCCTAAGCAGTTTAAGGCACTGCGCAGATGATGCCAAACAGAAGAGATTGGAATTTGGGGTGTAGAGTTTGGGATTTGGGGGGTAGGACTTGATGGGAGAGCTGGAGATTCTTAACTCCGAGCAGCCCTTTGTTGTTTAAGTAGGTGCACAGGCCCCCATATTTCAGGAGCTGTCTGCAGATAGCTCGAGGTAAAAGCCCTGCACCCCCAGACCCTAATAGAGGTGACTCCAGGTAAACCTCAATTAATTCAGATTTCAGGCCAACCTCTTCAAGGATCCTGAACCTCAGTTTAGGGTTTAGGGTTTAGGGTTTAGAGTTTAGGGTTAAATTAGGGTTTAGGGTTTAGGGTTTAGGGTTTCTCAAGCTGTGGCCTAGAGGCTGCTAAGTGCGAACCTCGGTCTCAGGGCTTGGGGTTTAGACCCGAAATCCTCACTCCTAAGCCCGAACCCTAAAGCTCGTAAACCCCTATGAACACCGAACCTAACCAGACCCCAAATCCTCACTCCTAAACCCGAACCCTAAAAGTCGTAAACCCGAAAAAAAACCCGAACCCGAGCCGCAGGTACTCCGTACTCCGTTTCCATCTCCCGCCAAGGCGGGGGGGGGGGGGGGGGCAGACGACTGGTCAAAGCTGCGGGCCCTACTGGTGCTGAAGGGGTGGGGCAGCGACGACAGGTACCACGAAGCTTTGGGTTCTCTAACTTAGGGTCCCTTCTTGGGCCCCCTTGTAGCAAAGCACCTTATCAAAGGGATCCCCTGAACTACTATAGCCTTTTGAGGGCTGAGGGAAAGCCACCATGGAAGGGCAAGGGCAAGCTCGAGGTGGCCGAGTCTACTCTTGAGCCACTTTTCAGGGACTTAGAGTACGCCCTTATTCCACGTTTTTGGGGGTTTAGGTTCCTTCATGATTCCCTTCAGACCCTAAAAGGGCACCCTTTCTTCTTGTTAGGATACTCTTGGGTCTAGGTTTTTCGGGCTTTGCCCTCCCTGACGGCATCCCACCCTCAAGCCCCAAAAGCGTGCCCTTGGGCTGGGTTTTGCTTTTGAGTTGCTCCACTCCGCTTGTAGTACAGTATGACTCTGAGATGAAAGACTAAGATGTCCAGAAAGGAAGCCTTCTGGGTAGTTTCCTAAATTAGGGCCTTTTGAATACCCATTATACGGCGGCACTCTTTAACAGGATCCTAAAAAGGGACCCACCCTTATATTAAGTTACAACGAAGGGTCTTCGGGGTACGCAGCCCATGTCGGCTCCCAGAGGCTGAAACTGAGTTGAGGCCTTGGAGGAGTGTCAAGGGGGCCATGGTTGGGTACACGCCACAGAAGCCTTCTCAGCCCCGTGAGCAGGCGCCGGCACCTCATCGTCGATTTCGGAAGACCCAGGAGGTGAGCCCAGTGGCCACAGAGTCTGCGCCGAAGGAACGCAAGGAGCTGGTGGCTGGAGATCCTGCGCCCATGGAAAGGGGCTTTGGTCAGGTCACCAAACGCGTGCGTTTCCTTGAAGAGCCGGAGGTCAGAGAAGTTGTCACCGATGATGCTCAGGATCAGGATGTTAGCGAGGGCCTTGCAGGGCTCGTGGCACGTCGCCGCCAGCGGCTCATGCACCAAGATGAGCACCAGCTGGCAGAACAGTTCACCGAAATCTTGCGGCACAGGAACCAAACTTCAACGATGCTCTTGTAGACTCGTAGAGACGGTCATTAGAGGCTGTGGACTGGGCGAGGCGGCCACATGCCACATCTCCAGTTCACTAAGTACATACTGTAGTTGGCCCTATTTTCCATGGCAGATGCTGCTTACGTGTTGTCTATTTATGTTTGAGGGTTCAGGGTGGGTTTAAGTTTGGGGGTCAGGATTTATGCAAGTGTTCTTGGCACACGCATCGGGGATCGTTGTTTTTTTGAAGACACATGTGCCAGAGCCTTTCTTGTCTCACAATTGCCCCTGCTGCTCAGCGACTACACTACAACCTGATAACCCAACCCACACCCCAGCATCTAGAGGTAATCTTAAAGGGTGGGGGTGGGGAGACCAGGTCGGGGCAGGGGCAGGCGGTGCAGTCGACATTCGGGGAACCTCTAGGCATTGGGAAGAATACAGTGTGCCCTGTACAAGTATTTGTAAGCAGGTAGGCTGGCTGAATTCTCGATAGAGACATGCCACTGTAACATGGAGTTGCCTGGCTTCAGCTTGGTCTCTAAGACTCATCGAGGTACCCCTAAACCCTAAACTCCAACCCCAAACCCTAAACCCCCGACCAGGCCCGAAGCCCTAAACCCTAAACCCCAAACCTGTTGATGCCGGGTTAATACGGGAGTTCCGAAACTAGGGGTACCTTCTTGGGGTCCTTTTAAAAAGGGAACCCTACTACTTGGGATCTATATTAGGGATCCCAGGGTCCCTTATTTTCGTAAACCCCCATACATCTTTGGGGTGCAATCCCGCGATCTGAGCGGCAGATATGGGGCAACGCATTTGGAGGCCTTCTTGGCGAATTCTTTAATGAGCCATCTTGGGCATTTATCAATGGGGTCCCCTCAGAAAGGGTTTAGGGTTTAGAGTTAGGGCTTAGGGTTTGGGTTTTAGGGGTTTAATGGCCTAGGGGTTTAGGGGCTTCCACCTGTTTTGATGGGTCCTTGGAGGTGGAAGGCTGCAGGAGCGAGCCCAAGACCCGAAACTCCGTGGTAGAGGGCTTAGGGTTTAGGGCTTAGGGCTTTGGGCTTTGGGCTTTAGGGTTTAGGGTTTAGGGTTTAGGGTTTAGGGTTTAGGGAGATCGCTGAGCGGGGGATCCCTTGGCTTGGTAATTTGTGGTCGCTTGAGAGTAGGTTGAAGCTCAAGACTTCCAGTCAGAATCTGCCCAGTCGACAGCCCGTGACTGAACCTGTATAGCCTAAACCCTGCAGGATCACAAAAAGCAAAAGTCTTCGGGCTTAGGGCTTGGAGGGCTATTCAGGGTTTAGGAACGGGCCATCCCATCTTACCAACACTGCTCAGCCCCAACCTTTAGCGGAGTGAGATTCTGTCGGCGGCAGATTCCGTGTGGGAGGCTTTGTTGAAGAGCTTGCTAATTCTTCGTAGGAAGCTGGGGAAGTTTTTAGGTATCTCTCATCCCCGTATATAGGCCCTTGTCCAAGGATTATTTAGGGGTCACCTACATGCCCCAAATCCGTAAACGAAAGTAGCAAGGCTGTTTTGCCGCTGGCACTGCACATGCTGGGCTGGCCGATTGCCTTACGGCATGCGCATCGTGCCGCACTGCAAGGCTGAGGTTTAGGGTTTGGGGTTTAGTGTTTAGGGTTTAGCTAGGGTTTAGGGTTCAGGGTTTAGGGTTTAGGGTTTAAGGGTTTAGGGTTTAGGGTTTAGGGTTTAGGGTTGACGGTCTATAGGACCTCGGATGTAGAGCCTTGTGGGGTTCGACCGCTTCTCACCTTGTTGCGAGGATTTTCGCAGAAAGGCCCGGGAACCTTGCGTAGCCGAAGCCTGCAACCCAAAGGGCTTACCCCGAAACCCTACACCTTGGTAGCCCAGAGGTACCCTTTTCCCTTTTTTTGGGTTCAAGGCTTCCTGATAAATTAACCAACCCAAAAAGGGTGCCCTTATTGTAAGAGGGTTACTGGGCTGCCAAGGAACCATAAACCCCAAACCCTAAACCCTAAACCCTAGTACCGGAACCCAGAATACTTATTTCCCCTTTCTATGCTGTGTGTGTGTGTACGTATATATATATATATATATATAAACCTATAGAAGGGTGCTTCCCAAAATAGACTCCGCCTGTACCCCAACTAGAATAGAATCCCCTCAAAGGGGCCCCCTAAAAGGGTACCGACCCCCAATATAGATCCCCCAACAGTAGGATTCCCTTATAGTAAGGACCCCCAATGAGGTACCCCCACCCCCCAATTTCGGAAACCCCCATATAGATCCCTAAAGCCTAAACCCTAAACCCTTAGCCCTAAACCCTAAACCCACATACACATACATATAGGTATATACATCTGCAGGTGTACTAATGTTTGTTTTTTGAGTCAGTGCTTGCGGGGTCCGGGCCGACGTTCCCAGCTGAACAGCATCAGAGCCTCGGATTTAAGGAAAAAATGCCCCCGGAAATGCGACAGGGACCCCGAAAGCCCTGAGTCGGGTTTGGGGTTTGGGGTTTGGGGTTTGGGGTTTAGGGTTTAGGGTTTAGGATTTCTTGTTTGCAGGGTGCAGGGTCTCTGGTGTAGAATGTGGGGTGCATGTAGGGTTTAGGGTCGATTGTTGGGCTTCCGGCGCAGGACGTCGACCCCCGAGCCCCTGAACATTTCAACCCAAAGAGAAGACCCTAAGCTGACGTGCTCTTTGTAGGGCTTCGCTGTAACTTTAGATCCTTAGCCTTTTTGGGTTTATTGGGTTTCTTAATAAGGCAGCAAAAACTTTAGTTGTTTTTACCACCCTCCTAAGTGCAGCCAAGCCTGCTGATCCTCATCCTTCTCACATCCTGCACTCTTGGTATCTCTTGGTATTTAGGGTCGAGGGTTTGGGGTTTCAGGTTTCGGGTTTAGGGTGCAAGGTTCCTTTGACTCCGAAAACGCTACAATCTAAAGCCTGAACCCTATATCTGAAACCAGAAGCCCCGATTTTCCAAAAGCCAACAGGTGTGGCACATGGCATGGCCTTCCTGCCGTGGACTTTACTCGCACTCCTCAGCCTAGGCTGGTCCAAGTTGTTCAGGGTTTAGGTTTGTGGGCGCGTGTCGTCACACTATGCCATGCACTGGCTTGTTGTCAAGGACATGAACTTATATAAGTTACTAGATTATGTACTGTACATCTGCAAGTGAAGCATCTCAGCTTCAAGGCAGCACTGCTTTCATGGCATGGTAACTCAAACTGTGGGATTTAGAGGTTGCGGTCATCAACAGCAACGCCGTGCACTCTAGCTCGGGTTGGGGAAGTTTCAAGGCTTCGAAGTGCACCCACCCCAAACCCCTGGACCCAAAACCCTGTGGCGGCTGTGGCGTCTAGGGATGCTTGGAGCGATGAGGTTGGCGTGCGATTCCAGAGTGACCTCCTACACCCCAAGTATGGGAAGGGAGCCTAAGCCCTAAACCCTAAACCGTAAACCGGTATGTACCAGACTTCTTGGGAATATTGCAGCCCCTGAAAAGGCCCAGGATTGCTGTCTAAGCCCAATGAGGGTTGCCGTTCAGAGCCAGGGATGCCAGGTTTGAAAGGGCCCCCGAGCTTCCTGGCGTTTGGGGTTTAGGGTTTAGGGTTTAGGGTTAGGGTTTAGGGTATAGGGTTTAGGGTTCTCAAGGCCTACTCGGGGGTCTTGGCAAAATACACAAAAAATGCGAAAGGACAATGAGAACACCCCGCACGTAAATAGTTCCCAGCACCTGTCTGGGAGGCCCTCCCCGTTGTTTAAAGTCGCACGAGCTACAAGCAGTAAGGGTTTCGGGTTTAAGGTTTAGGGTTTAGGGTTTAGGGTTTAGGGTTTATGGTTTTTGTTGTGGGGTAGAAGGCCTAAGGCTGCTCTGAGGCAACTTGACACCTTGGGAGAGCGTGAAGGAAACACCTGCAACTTGCTTTGTGCCTTTCTGGTTCTGCTTCTTTTGTCCTTGTAGTGGTTCCCTTGTAAAGTAGCCAGCCCAAAAACGTGTGCCCTGTTTCTGATATGGTTACTGGGCTACCAAGTTGCTGATACTTGTTGCACGCACTTGCACTTGAGAGAAACCATCGTTGGGTGGATCTGGTTGGGTGTACTCTTGCAGTGAGCTGTGCCCAACATGTCGGTGCTTTACTTTACGGCAGCTAAGCCACCCCAGAAAGCCCAACACCTAATGACCTAATGATAAAGAAAAAAATGCCTTGATTAGGTCTATGAAAGTCCTTATTTTGAGCTCATGTAGGCCTTAATAATTTGAATAGGGTCTTGGGGGGTTATTATCGTTTTTGTATATAGGGTCCAGAAGCGAATAAGACTAGTAATCATTCCGACAGGCTGTTGTGCAAGCTAGGCTTCTGAACCCAAGCAGCAAGAGGCTCTGTCTCGGTCCGAGAGAGCTTGGAAGAGTTCAATGACGAGGCGCCACCCTTCAAACCCTTTAAACCCGAATTAATAAACCCTAAACCCTTAACCCTCAACCCTCCACCCTCAACCCTAGATCCTAGACCCTAAACCCTAAACCCTAAACCGTAAACCCTAAACCCTATTTGTTGCCTTTGCTGCAAGATGTCATAGTGCGCCAACAGCCGGTTCACTACTGGCCCAAGCCCGGCAACTGATTGACAATACTTTCTGCAAGCTCGCCAAGTTACCAAGTTCCCCAGTTAAAGGGTTTTGGTTGGATGTTCTCCCTAATACTAACAGTCCTTAATAGGGATTATCGTGCCCCCCCCCCCATGACCCTTATTAAGGACTGTCCGTATAGGGGAGAACATCCCAAAGAGGTTTGGGCCCAATAAGAAGGCCCCCTAAGTGTGGACGCGGAGGCGACGAGGCATGGGGCCAGTCACGAAGGCGAAGCCTCCAGACTAGGCCATCGGTGCTTTCAGACAGGGTTTAGGGTTTAGGGTTCAGGGTTCAGGGTTCAGGGTTTAGGGTTTAGGGTTTAGGGTTTAGGGTTTAGGGTTTAGGGTTTAGGGTTTAGGGTTTAGGGTTTAGGGTTTAGGGCTTAGACTTTAGGGTTTCGGGTTTAGGGTTTAGGGTTTAGGCAGTTCGGGGAAGCTTGAGGGTCCTGTCTCAGGTTCAGGGGTTTGGGGCTTAGGTTTAGGGTTTGCCCCCCCCTCCCCGGGTCTAGCCTTTGGACCCCAAACCCCGACACCTTCAACCCTACTCTTTTCATCTCAAATCCGGGGGGGGAGGGGAGGGGGGGGAGGGGGGGGGGAGCAGGTTCAGAGCAGGATCACTCTTAAGTTGCTGAGGAACCTCGGGTAGAGTCCCCGAAGCCCGAAACCTATACCCGAAACCCTAAATCCTAATCCCTAAACACTGTGGTAGATTCTGTCTTTTGATCCTTTGCTGTTCATACAAGATTTAGGTTTTGGGCTTTCGGTTTTGATGGTTTGACGTTAGGTTTTTATGGTGCAAGTTTGGGCTTTAAGGTATTCAGGGTTTGGGGTTTAGGGGTTAGGGTTTAGGGCTGTAAGTTGTCCATTTTGTGTTTGTTGAGGGTGCTTAAAGGTGAGAGCTTGAGGATATCTCCTTCTTTCTTGGACTTGTCATTTCCTTATGTTTTTCTTCCTTGCCTCCCAGCTGTGCACCCTTTCGTCGTAGGGTCGTGAACCCAATAAGACGGAAAGCATCGCCGATGAAGGGCTGAGAGTCAACATAGGTTTTAGGGCTTTGCGGCTGTACTCTATTAATTGGTTGAAAGGGAAGTGCGCGTGGTTGTACTAACGGCTGATTTGGAGTTGGGTGTTTATGAAGTGCTGCAGCATTCTATGGGCGCGCGCACCATGACAATTTGATTCGTACAGGCCCACCGCTCCCCAAGTCCACCCCAGAATTAATCTAAACCCTAAACCCTAAACCCTAAACCCCAAACCCTAAACCCTAAACCCTAAACCCTAAACCCTAAACCCTAAACCCTAAACCCTAAACCCTAAACCCTAAACTCCGGTAGCTCCTCCACTCTTCAGAACCAGTAGGCGGTCGGGAACGTCAAAGCCTTGGACTCTTGGAGTTAGGGCTCTGGGGTTTTAGGGTTTGGGGTTTAGGATTTAGGGTTTAGGGTTTAGGGTTTAGGGTTTAGGGTTTAGGGGTTTAGGATTTAGGGTTTACGGTGCAGGGTTTCGGGTACCCTACACCTAAACTCGCATAGTGGTGATGGCGGCTCAGGACCCTGAACGCTAAACTGAAAGCCCTCTGTATTGGTTTCTGCCCTTCTCCAGCTAAGTGTTGGGTTCTTGGGATATTTCATATTTTCCCTTAATTATTGGGTTTAAGAGGACCATCTTCAGGAATATGTGTTCAGAGGGTTTTTAGGGCCATGCTTAGGTTAAGTTTTGGGCTCTTGGGGGCGGGGGGGGGGGGGGGGGGGGGGAGGGGGCGGTACAAATTGAGTAACTCCTTACAGGTTTGGGACAACCTCAAGATGGGTTGTCTTCTTCTAGTCTGAGCCAACAGGGAGATCTCCAGGTGCTTTATCTCCGCAGCTTCTATGTCTGTTTCCCAGATGGTTGCGCTTCTCAGGTTTATGTGTAAACCACTCTAATTCGGCTTCCACTGAGACTAAACTTAGCATTCGTAAACCTAGCACTGCATGCATGTGCTGACGGGGGTTTGATGTCCACACTGATGGGTTTCATGGCCTTGTCTGGGTTGCATTGAACCCTGATAGAATCCTTGTCGGCAGAGTAGACCCCAAAGAAGCCCACATACCACCAAACTCAAGCAAACCTCGCGTTGCCCCTAGACCCTGCGAGGCATGTGTCTGGTTGCGTTCCCTTTTAACTGATATGAAATGATGCCCTATCTACTCCTGGATTTCCCTTGGTTCAGGGTCGGGCTTTAGGAACCTAGATATTCGGACCGTATCCCTAAACCCTATACGGCTTCAATCTTTTTCTTGGGAGAGACGCCATGGTTCCCGGAAGCGGTCGCGGCCACCTGCCCGGGTGCATCTGCAAGGCATCTCGGCAAAAGCTCCCCCCAACTCCTGGGGTAGTATAGGGTTCATCTGGGGTTGAGGGCTTAGTGTCTCGGGTTCTTAGTTAGGTGTTGGGGTGCCTCAACCCCTCCCCCCCCTTCCCTCCTCAAAAAAACAAAAAGGCAAGCCAGAACCACCCCTTCAGAAGGACTTAAGGGTGTACTTTGAGAGAGGGGGGGGCTTGATTGTATCCCGAGACATCCCGAGGCTCCGTTCGAAGCAGACAAGGCTCAGACCCGGGCAAGGCTCGGGTGGCGAGCGTCGACCCCGGAACCCCAAGGAGCCCAATACCCCTTTATTAAGGAATATACCTTAGTTTATAGAGGGATCCTTAATATGATTTAAGGTATATTCCTTAATTAAGGAGTGTTGGGCTCTTTGGGACCCTCATCCCAAGCTTCCCACGCGACGCATGAGCAGCGCCAAGCGCGGCACCGAAGGCGGGGGCCGACTGCAAGAGCTTCGGCGGCAAGCGCTGGTCGCAAGAGCATGGCTTGGGGATTCCGCATGGATGAGGTGGCGGGAGGCAGGCAGCTGCCGAGCACCTCGCATCAGTCCTGGGCAGCAAGGTCGCAACCTGCATGCTTCCTCCCCCTGAAGAAGTCTGTGCCTGCCGCACCGGAGTTCTTTCAGAAGGACACTGGAAAGGTTTAGAACCCTTAGGAAAGTATGCCTGCATCTTGGCCGCCTTTAGCGGAAGTCCCCTATGGCCCTATTTAAGCACACGGATCCTTATGGCATTTAGGGTTCAGGGTTGAGGGTTTAGGGTTTAGGGATCCTTAAGAAAATGCATGGTTTGGGCATTCACTTCAAGGCTCCATCAAGTGTTCGGCATACCTCAGAGCCGGGAGCTTTTCCCAGAGGGCCCCGTCTCCCTTGGTTCCGGAAGATACACAAATCATAATCTAAGGAATGCCCCTGCGGCAAAGTTTAAGGTTTCTTCTCTAAGCCCTGGCCCTAAACTCTCTACCCCAAACGCTTCAATCATGAACCCTATCCCCCCCCCAATAGAAACTCGAAATGTGGTGATGTTGTTATCCAAATGTCATGTTTGGGGTCCAAAGGAATTTGGGAGCCCTGAACCCCCCCTAATTCGGAACAGGGTTGAAAAGGCGGGGTCAGTTTCGGCAGGATTTTCCGGAAAGTGCTTTGATTATTAGGGGTACGCTTAATAGAAGGGGGAAGGGATTACGCCCTAAACCCTAAACCCTGAATCCTAAACACCAGTGTAGGGGTTTAAAATGGCGCCTCAAGAACCTTACGTTTTTGGGAAAGGGTTTCCCCTAAACCTTCTGCCCCAAGCCCGAAACACCTTATCTTTTTCAAAGGGTTTTGGAGTAGAGGCCCTTGTAGAAGGGTTCTGGAGTCATGGTGTGCTGGGGGTATAACCATCATTTAAAACGTTCCCCCCCCCCCTCCTAAACCCAAAGCCACCCAAAGCCACCCTAAACCCTAAACCCTCCAGCCCTGAAATCTAATCTGTTATCAGAAATTTCAATCGTTTGTTTTTTGACGGCCCCATGTTCACTCTGGGCCCGTCTCTCAAGGGACCCTATGCCTTCTGAACCCGAAACACTCAACCCTTCACAAACCCTAACCCTAACCCTCTAAACCCCAACCCTAACCCTCTAGACCCCAAACCTAATCCTCTAGACCCTGCCCTCAGAAGCACGATTGTTCAAGGCTTGCCGTCTTGCCGGCAACGGCGGCGACCTAAGTCTTGAAGGCGTTAAACCTGGGACTCCCAATGGTATCCTGCTGTGTCCCTTTTGCTGAGGAGCAAAGGCTGGGCTATCCTTTTGTCTTGGAGGGGTTAGGGTTTAGGGTTTAGGGTTTGGGGTTTAGGGTTTAGGGTTTAGGGTTTAGGGTTTTGGGTTTAGGGTTTAGGGTTTAGGGTAGTCTTGCGAGGTTAGGCTTGGGCGGGGCCAGGGTTGTTGGGTTTAGGGCTGGAGGGCTTCAGGGCCCTCGGGTTTCAGGAGTGAGTTTGCTTTTGTTACTAGAGGAGGGGCGGGGCTTTCCTGTGTTTGGCTTATTGGTCTTGCCTGGGATTTTGATAGGTTTGTCAAAGGGAGCCAGTAACCCTAGTGGAGGCGGGAGGGGAGGGGGGAGGGGTTCAGGTTCCCAGAGTTCGGGCTTTTTACTGCCATGTACCCTACTTACCAGTACTGCTTGGCAAGCAGGAGGTCGGGCTTTTCCGAGCTGAGTTGGATGCTGTGAGTATTCGTAATTGTGGTCTTGCGAGACCCCAACTGCCAAAGGCCAAACAGCCACTCGGGTCTCTCAGCTGCTCCCTGCGCGCGACGGGACCCGGGGAAACGTTGCTTTTTTTGCCACCCTTCAAAAGGCCTGCAAGGTGCCGTGAATACTGAAGGTATACTTTGTAGGCCGTAATTGATGCTCCTCTCCGCCGAGGTGTGCCACTGTTGGGTTCTGCCCTAGCTGGCCCGCCTGGCCCAGCTGCCCTTGCTAGCAGCCCTCCCGGCGCAGGCGGGGCAAACCCTAAATCGGCAGATAGATAGGGCTTGAGGGGGGTTGTAAGCTTGCGGTTCAGCACTTCTCTGATTTGTTGGTCTGCTGTGCTTTTGTTCGGTGCTCTTGGAGCTTGGGCTTAACCTTGCAAAGACGGCAACTTTCGGCTGGATGTCAGCTACGGTATTCCCTGGCTCTTGCCCTTGCCTTGCGCCTCATACGTCCTTCATACCCGTCCATTCGCCCTGAAACCCTAAACCCTAAACCCTAGCCTAAGCTCCCAAACCCCAGTGGTATTCTTCGGTGTAGCAGCTAGAAGCGTTTTACCCCTTCAACCGATGCGTCGACAAGCGAGCCTGGAAAGTCAGAGGCTTGTTCTTGTAGCTTTTGGTGCTTAGGTGATTCTAAGGGTAGTTTC